ACGAGAGAACGGTTTTGGATCACCTGTCTACAAACCCGCTACCCTCGAGGTATCAACGAACGATAGGCGGTTGCCATCCGCTCGTTTTCCTTCCAGGGGGCATTTGACCTAATGATTCATTACTGCACATTTGGTCTGCTATCTCCCCTGCCTGCTGCTTCATGTCAGTGTGTGTGACCAACAGCCGTTGTCAGATTTATTTTGCAGATTTATACAGTATCTTAGCCATTTTATCTACTTATTCCTCCTGCACTCACTTATGTGATAATTACATGCATAATTCCTGCAAACCAATAGAGGCACATGCATTATTCCTGCAAACCAAAAGAGGCGACTAAGTGGGACCCCCTGCTGTGACTTAGATCCATCGCAGTATTCAGAGGCGACTAATGAGACATTCCGTAGCAGATTGGAGATTTTTCACATTTACCGGGCCAGATTTCCAAATGCACATGTTTCACGTTTCTCGTTGACTCACTTTATATGACAGTGCATCTTGCGCAAGAATAGGTCCTCTACATCAGCGTTCCTTATCCGCGATGCTCTCAGCTTAATTGCTGCCTTCGGCGGTCTTTAGCCGAGGGGACTATTGGTTTTATATAATAGCTATATTTTCAATTATAGTATATCAATTCTATCTTCTTGTAATATGATGTATATGTACATGTAACTGTTCTGTTTCACTGTGTCTTGAAAAAGGAGCGGATCGCTCCGAAAATTTGACAACCTAAACTTGTCCACACTGTTGGAATTACTTCTTTGCCCCATATAAATATATATAGGTATTGAACAGCTTTAAGGTACATTCAAATCAGTCCAAAGCTTGTTTATAACAACAACAACAACTGATAGACACGTTTTGGAGATGTATATTGACGGTATATTGGGGATGATAGGGTACTTTAAGACGGAGAGAGGTGGAAGGCGATGAAGTCGGTGGTTGGTATGACGGAAAGACGGAATACGATTACAACGGTAGTTGGTATGACGGAAAGGCAGAAGGCAATTACGTCGGTAGTTGGTATGACCGAAAGGTGGAAGGCGATTACGTCGGATGTTGGTATGACAGAAAGATGGAAGGCGGTAACGTCGGTGATTGGCATGACAGAAAGGTGGAAGGCGATTACAACGGTAGTTGGTATCACAGAATGGTAGAAGGCGATTACAACGGTAGTTGGTATGACAGAAAGATTGAAGGCGATTACAACGGTAGTTGGTATGACAGAAAGGTGGAAGGCGAAAACAACGAGTTGGTATGACAGAAAGGTGGAAGGCGATAACGTCGGTGGTTAGTATGACAGAAAGTTGGAAGGCGATTACAACGGTGGTTGGTATGACAGAATGGTGGAAGGCGATGACGTAGGTTGTTGGTATGACAGAAAGGTGGAAGGCGATTACAACGATAGTTGGTATGACAGAAAGGTGGAAGGCGGTAACGTCGGTGGTGGGTATGACAAAAAGGTGGAAGCGATTAAAACGGTGGTTGGTATGATAGAATGGTGGAAGGCTATTACAACGGTGGTTGGTATGACAGAATGGTGGAAGGCGATTACGTCGGTGGTGGGTATGACAAAAAGGTGGGAGGCGATTATAACGGTAGTTGGTATGACAGAAAGGTGGAAGCGATTACGTCGGTGGTGGGTATGACGGAATGGTGGAAGGTGATTACAACGGTAGTTGGTATGACAGAAAGGTGAAAGGCGATTACAACGGTGGTATGGTATGACAGAAAGGTGGAAGCGATTACGTCGGTGGTGGGTATGACGGAATGGAGGAAGGTGATTACAACGGTAGTTGGTATGACAGAAAGGTGGAAGGGGATTACAACGGTAGTTGGTATGACAGAAAGGTGGAAGGCGATTACGACGGTAGTTGGTATGACAGAAAGGTGGAAGGTGATTACAACGGTAGTTGGTATGACAGAAAGGTGAAAGGCGATTACAACGGTGGTATGGTATGACAGAAAGGTGGAATCGATTACGTCGGTGGTGGGTATGACGGAATGGTGGATGGCGATTATGACGGTAGTTGGTATGACGGAAAGGTGGAAGGCGATTACGACGGCAGTTAGTATCACGGAAAGGTGGAAGGCGATTACGACGGTAGTTGGTATGACAGAAAGGTGGAAGGTGATTAAAACGGTAGTTGGTATGACAGAAAGGTGAAAGGCGATTACGACGGCAGTTAGTATGACGGAAAGGTGGAAGGCGATTACGACGGTAGTTGGTATGACAGAAAGGTGGAAGGCGATTACAACGGTGGTATGGTATGACAGAAAGGTGGAAGGCGATTACGTCGGTGGTGGTTATGACATAAAGGTGGAAGGCGATTACAACGGTAGTTAGTATGACAGAAAGGTGGAAGGCGATTACAACGATAGTTGGTATGACAGAAAGGTGGAAGCGATTAAAACGGTGGTTGGTATGATAGAATGGTGGAAGGCGATTACAACGGTGGTTGGTATGACAGAATGGTGGAAAGCGATTACGTCGGTGGTGGGTATGACAGAAAGGTGGAAGGCGATTACAACGGTAGTTGGTATGACAGAAAGGTGGAAGCGATTACGTCGGTGGTTGGTATGACGGAATGGTGGATGGCGATTATGACGGTAGTTGGTATGACAGAAAGGTGGAAGGCGATTACGACGGCAGTTAGTATGACGGAAAGATGGAAGGCGCTTACGACGGCAGTTAGTATGACGGAAAGGTGGAAGGCGATTACGACGGTAGTTGGTATGACAGAAAGGTGGAAGGCGATTACAACGGTAGTTGGTATGACAGAAAGGGAAGGCGATTACGACGGCAGTTAGTATTACGGAAAGGTGGAAGGCGATTACGACGGTAGTTGGTATGACAGAAAGGTGGAAGGCGATTACAACGGTGGTTGGTACGACAGAAAGGTGGATGGCGATTACAACGGTGGTTGGTATGACAGAAAGGTGGAAGGCGATTACAACGATAGTTGGTATGACAGAAAGGTGGAAGCGATTAAAACGGTGGTTGGTATGATAGAATGGTGGAAGGCGATTACAACGGTGGTTGGTATGACAGAATGGTGGAAAGCGATTACGTCGGTGGTGGGTATGACAGAAAGGTGGAAGGCGATTACAACGGTAGTTGGTATGACGGAAAGGTGGAAGGCGATTACAACGGTGGTTAGTATGACAGAAAGGTGGAAGGCGATTACAACGATAGTTGGTATGACAGAAAGGTGGAAGGCGATTACAACGGTAGCTAGTATGACGGAAAGGTGGAAGGCGATTCCAACAGTAGTCGCTTAATCACAACGGATTGAAAGCAGTGTCATCAGTGGTTACTTTAACACAAAAGGAGGAAAACAATTGTACCAGTGGCTAATTTAGCACAAAAGAGGTATATAATATTACGTAACTTAAAGCGAATTTAGTAGACAAAAAACGACAGTTGTTGCTTTATCTAAACATTTCTAGAAACATGTAACTACACGCCTATAGTTTCTTTAACACGAAAGAAAAGGTGCGCATGGAAGTTATTATCACATAACCTCTTTCACTCACGGGAGCACAAAGGAATCTGACATTTTTTAAATTTTGTGTTTTTACACTTTTATTGACAATGCGTCTAGCTATGTTGTTTCGGTGTTCTTTTAAAATGAGTTCAATAATCAATTCCATTTAACGGTAGAAAATTATGCACTGGAATTGCAATTACCGCCAGAACATAAAATTTGAAATACATTTTCTATCAGAGGGTGTAGCGATAAACACCAATCATAAAGCAAATAGTTGCCATTAATCTCAAGGCTTGTGTGAATATCCTACTTAAAACCCGCCAAGAGGTGCAATCTTTACGACCTTGTTAAACCTTTATGACATGAGGGGTGTAGTGTAGTAGTTATTACAGCTCTCGGAGTATGACTACAAATGACCCCATGCTGAATTCCTCCAAAGAAGTCCGATTTTCCTTCACAGATTTAAAATTTTATTTTTGAAACAATAAATACACAAGCAATAATTTATCTATGTCTGATTTTCTGTTTTTGTCACAGTGCACTTTCCTTTATGTAAATGATGACTATTTTGCGAATTTTAGTTTTAATAGTTTTGGTTTATTTTAAGTTTCAGTTATTCCATTTTCTCGGACAGAATTGATTTAATACAACTATTACATATGGTCTGACTTTCCTTGATTTTATATGGCTAAACCTTGGTTTTAGGTTCGCCTATATATAGCAGATTGACCCCATGTTTCTTTGTTGTGTTGCACTTCACTATATCGACCTCATGCTTCTAAATTAAGATCCTCATGTTTCGTTCCGAAAACAGTCCATTGATTTTTACTATTTCCCATGTTACCTGAATGCATGGTATGTAATATAAAAAATAAGGACTTTTGTTTCGGTTTAAACGTTGTTAAACATGTATGAACATTTTAGAGTTATATGGACCTTGGCTGCGTTCTCGGCCGAAATAACTCTATCCGGTCTATACAACAACGTTCTCACCTCTACTAAAGTCCATAATTGTTAAAGTAGTTGATATAAGGGTTGCCAGGGTTGACGGTTCCTTGGTTCTACCGCCGATAGGTACACATACAATGTTAACATGTTAGGGGGTATTTCGATTAAATGTTCGATACCTCTTTCCGAGAAACTATTTCCAATATTAATATACATAAAATACTGATAAGAATATTTATTTTGCTACATAACTTTATGTATTAATAACTATTACACTTATATATATAAATAATTGATGTGTAATTATATTGTTCCTGTCTCTAAGAAACGGCTAATTGTAGTCCGACTGAGGAATTCATTTGAAAGTATGACAACTTTTGTTGAACTATTATTATTAATATCATTTTCACATAGTCATAACATAAAAGCCGAGTTTTAACAGCACTGTTTCACTAGGGGTGTGGTGTCGCCTTGGTTCCTTAACACTGTCTAGATGGGATAGTAGAAGGTTATTACGTCTAAATCATCCATACGAAATTAGTTAAAAGGATTGTAATACTCACAACTTCCTATGTGTAATGGACAGATCTGGAAATCCAGGGGATAATTCTGCAGCTTCATCTGACATATCGCTCGCACCGTCAATCTACAACAGTATAAATAGCCTCTATATACAACACGCGCCACCAGGTTCATGTAATACAATTGTGTAAAAGGATTGATAAAGTTTTTTTGGGGCCCGAATAATTCCGAATTTTCTCCTGGTAAGCTATTGCATCATCATCTTACCAGTATACAGAGTAGCTTCTAAGTGATTGCAGCTGAAACTTCATTTTGAGTTTGTAAAAAAAAACCCACAACTTACTGTTGGGACACCCGGCCTTGACCCAAGAACAAACTGTTTCGCAATCAGTGTGGATGAGTAACAGTATAAATCAATATATACCTACCTTAACGAGAGAAACATTCGCCTTATCTTCACCAGTACAATCGTTTTATCAGAGCTTTCATTTGACACTAGACATTTAGCAATATCAGGAGTCAAATAAAACGTTCGCCAAATTTATAGAGTGAAAACATGTCAAATACACATGTACGTTAACAGCAAAAAGGCACGACTCACTGTAAAGAGTCAAATTATATCATGGGTCAATGGGAAGCTCTGATATAGGATACATATATATCTAAATGAAAAACGCATTGACCGTTGTGACATATCAGTACAAACTGATAGGGTTTGCCGTACGTATATATACATGTCAGTATAGACCTGCTGTCGCGGGACTCACCATGGAGAGAGACATATGGACCCATAGCTTATCATCCCTATATAATTGTTGATGTGGGACTCACCTTGGAAAGAGACATATTGACCCATAGCTTGTTATCCCTATATAATTGTTGATGTGGGACTCACCTTGGAAATAGACATATGGACCCATAGCTTATTATCCCTATATAATTGTTGATGTGGTACTCACCTTGGAAAGAGACATATGGACCCATAGCTAATTATCCCTATATATTTGTTGATGTGGGACTCACCTTGGAAAGAGACATTTGGACCCATAGCTTATTATCCCTATATAATTGTTGATGTGGGACTCACCTTGGAAAGAGATATGTTGACCCATAGCTTATTATCCCTATATAATTGTTGATGTGGGACTCTCCTTGGAAAGAGACATATTAACCCATAGCTTATTATCCCTATCTAATTGTTGATGTGGGACTCTCCTTGGAAAGAGACATATTGGCCCATAGCTTATTATCCCTATGTAATTGTTGATGTGGGACTCTCCTTGGAAAGAGACATATGAACCCATAGCTTATTATCCCTATAGAATTGTTGATGTGGGACTCTCCTTGGAAAGAGACATATTGGCCCATAGCTTATTATCCCTATCTAATTGTTGATGTGGGACTCTCCTTGGAAAGAGACATATGAACCCATAGCTTATTATCCCTATATATTTGTTGATGTGGGACTCACCATGGAGAGAGACATATGGCCCATAGCTTATTATCCCTATCTAATTGTTGATGTGGGACTCAACTTGGAAAGAGACATATGGTCCCATAGCTTATTATCCCTATCTAATTGTTGATGTGGGACTCTCCTTGGAAAGAGACATATTGACCCATAGCTTATTATCCCTATATAATTGTTGATGTGGGACTCATCATGGAGAGACATATGGACCCATAGCTTATTATCCCTATATAATTGTTGATGTGGGACTCACCTTGGAAAGAGACATATGGACCCATAGCTTATTATCCCTATATAATTGTTGATGTGGGACTCACCTTGGAAAGAGACATATGGACCCATAGCTTATTATTCCTATATAATTGTTGATGTGGAACTCACCTTGGAAAGAGACATATGGACCCATAGCTTATTATCCCTTTATAATTGTTGATGTGGGACTCACCTTGGAGAGAGACATATGGACCCATAGCTTATTATCCCTATGTAATTGTTGATGTGGGACTCATCTTGGAAAGAGACATATTGACCCATAGCTTATTATCCCTATGTAATTGTTGATGTGGGACTCACCTTGGAAAGAGACATTTTGACCCATAGCTTATTATCCCTATGTAATTGTTGATTTGGGACTCACCTTGGAAAGAGACATATTGACCCATAGCTTATTATCCCTATATAATTGTTGATGTGGGACTCACCATGGAGAGAGACATGTGGACCCATAGCTTATTATCCCTATATAATTGTTGATGTGGGAATCACCTTGGAAAGAGACATATGGACCCATAGCTTATTATCCCGATATAATTGTTGATGTGGGCCTCACCATGGAGCGAGACATATGGACCCATAGATTATTATCCCTATATAATGGTTGATGTGGGACTCACCATGGATAGAGACATGTGGACCCATAGCTATTATCCCTATATAATTGTCAATGTGGGACTCACCTTGGAGAGAGACATGTGGACCCATAGCTATTATCCCTATATAATTGCTGATGTGGGACTCACCTTGTAAAGAGACATATTGACCCATACCTTATTATCCCTATATAATCGTTGATGTGGGACTCACCTTAGAAAGAGACATATGGACCCACAGCTTATTATCCCTATATAAATTGTTGATGTGGGACTCCCCATGGAGAGAGACATATGGACCCATAGCCTATATAATTGTTGATGTAGGACTCACCTTGGAAAGAGGCATATGGACCCATAGCTTATTACAGGATCCCTATATAATTGTTGATTTGGGACCCACCTTGGAAAGAGACATAAGGACCCATAGCTTATTACAGTATACCTATATAATTGTTGATGTAGGACTCACCTTGGAAAGAGATATATGGACCCATAGCTTATTACGGTATCCCTATATAATTGTTTATGTGGAACTCACCTTGGAAAGAGACAAATGGACCCATAGCTTATTACAGGATCCCTATATAATTGTTGAAGTGGGACTCACCTTGGAAAGAAACATATGGACACATAGCTAATTATCCCTATATAATTGTCAATGTGGGACTCACCTTGGAATGAGACATATGGACCCATAGCTAATTATCCCTATATAATTGTCGATGTGGGACTCACCTTGGCAAGAGACATATGGACCCATTGCTTATTATCCCTATATAAGTGTTGATGTGGGACTCACCTCGGAAAGAGACATATGAACCCATAGCTTATTATCCCTATGTAATTGTTGATTTGGGACTCACCTTGGGAAGAGACATATTGACCTATAGCTTATTATCCCTATAATATGGACACATAGCTTATTACAGTATTCCTATATAATTGTTGATGTCCGACTCACCTTGGAAAGAGATATATGGACCCATAGCTTATTTTCCCTATATAATTGTTGATGGGACTCACCTTGGAAAGATACATATGGACCCATAGCTTTTTACAGTATCCCTATATAATTGTTGAAGTGGGACTCACCTTGGAAAAAGACATATGGACCCATAGCCTATATAATTGTTGATGTGAGACTCACCTTGGAAAGAGATATATGGACCCATAGCTTATTACAGTATCCCTATATAATTGTTGATGTGGAACTCACCTTGGAAAGAGACATATGAACCCATAGCTTATTATCCCTATATAATTGTCGATGTGGGACTCACCTTGGAAAGAGACATTTGGACCCATAGCTTATTATCCCTATATAATTGTTGATGTGGGACTCACCATGGAGAGAGATATATGGACCCATAGCTTATTATCCCTATATAATTGTTGATGCGGGACTCACCTTTGTGACAGATACATTGACCCGTTATTGCCTATCCGTATGAACCTGTTTGGGGTGGGAATAAGGTGGAGAGAAGACTTCCTCCCGTTGAAGAACACAGTATCGGGGTACCAGATCTTCTCCAGCAGTTTGATACTGACTGATATATTCTCAATCGAGGTATTCGTTGCAAGGCGTTCATCCATCCATCTTTGCCGGAAGTAGATATCCATTGTGTACACCTTAAACACGTAACATCATGTTAGGAAGCTTAGGGGAAGTGATAGTTCTCTCAGGACCATAACATGCACTTCTTCTTGTTTTTCAGAGTGAGGCTTAGTAAACAGGGGAATTATTATATGGCAGGTGGTGGAATGAGAGCGAAGCCAGGTAATCAGAGGATGTGTTATCAGGACATCATTCACCTGGATGGATCTTGTGAAGTTTTTTTGAATTTCAAAATTTGTTTCGTTATTTTCTTTAAACTAGGGTTTGAAAGTTATATTCACCTTCTCCGAAAGTGTAGTCAAGATTTAATAATAACGTTTTATTTAAAAGTTCTCAAACTGGCTTAAACTTATAACACTTCTTTTCACTTTTGTTTTATGCTTTTTAAGACTCGGCAATTTTTTTTTTGTTATTTTCTTTGTCAATGGACAAACAGATCAATGCATATATAGGTTACAGGTTCATATAATTTTCAACTTAAGTTATTTTTGTTATTTTTGTAAGCTTATAGTGAGTTGTCAAGAAAGCACGGGAGGATCGATGTCAGTTTAAATAAAGTTTGCGATAATTGCCTATCTCTACTCATAATTGTGTTGTACTTCTATGTTTTGCTAAGTAGATAAGGGACGATATATCAGTGACATAGATGTTTCCAACGAGTGATGGTTGGTTATCATGATTATCTAAAACGAATCAGAATTTTCAAATTCATAAAGATAAAAGGTTTGTGTCTTTAACATTTGAAAATTGAATAACGAGAGCTAGACACATATGATAATCAGTAATCACGAGTATAGGGGCCTTCTTTCATAACGTTCAGATATTATGTCTAGAAAACCTTATATTTCCTGTTTGGCATATATTATTCCTGTTTCCGATTGGGGAGACAGTTGCCATGACATATAACGTTACAATGGAAGATGAAGTCGTAAAACATAGTTAAGTGACGTCATAATTAAAGATTGACCTATGAAATAACGTCTAGGGTGTAATCTACTTGTGAGTAACCAAACTTTTTCAAACTCCTCGCAATTTATCCAATGAGTCGGGAGTGAGGAAACCTATAACGGTTATTTTTGGAAAAAGACTTGTTGATATTGACGATTAATTGCTTTGTTTCCTCTGAGCTTGTTCCGAAGCATTGTTTTCGATTTAATTGAGTCTGAGAGCCCGTTTTTAAATCTGGCGAAAAGTATATTATCTTGTTAATCTGACTTTGCAAAGACGTTTGTACCAAAACGAGTAACAGACGATAAAGTCTTGGAATGCACCGGCTATCCTGTTTCAGCTGAAACGTCACACTTAAGCGACGTTCACTTCGGGATAGTCACCAGACGACAAGGTCATGACATTACGTCACCCACCTTGTTTGAAATGAAATGTCACAAGCTGACATCATACACACAAGGGATATAATCACTAGACTGTACGGATAAATTATGAATACGATTTCGTTACTAGACGAAACCAATACATGGAAATAAAGCAACTATTTTTATCGTTGTACCTCGTTTCTTAATATCGTGATCCGATGTGACATTAAAAGCGAGGCTGAGAAGGGGAGGTAAGCATGAGTCAAGTCGCCAATCAATATACAAGGCAAGCATTGTACGCCGTCATATTCATGAATAGAAGTAAGTGTGTATATGAGCCATGCCAATTGACTGATTTATCAATGCCGGTGTTAGTATACCTCGCCTGACCCTAGACAGAATTAATCAAATAAAATATGCAGTCAGAAGGAAAATACGCAACTCAAAAGCTGGCTTCTTACTACGCCTTTGTTCCAAAAAATGGGTTTGCGAGAAGTTACCATCAGAAAAGGAGTGATGGCTTTCTCTCACCAAATCGAAGTCCTATGCTTTTCCTGCCTGTTGCCACTATTCACAAGTAAAACCAATATCATTTCGCACTTGGCTACATTTTCAATAAATTATTTTCCCGTGTTAAATGTAGCATTAAGAATTCGTCAATATTTCTCTCGAGTAACGTTAAGGTTTCTGTACGAGTCGGAACGCTGACACGTGCATCATTATGGTTGTTGATATTGATATCGTCACAATGGCTTTTATATAGAACGCCCGAAATAACTCACTTGACCGGTCAAGACGGGTAACGGCGTCATTATAACATACTTTTATTGAAAATGAACAAACAACCATTACGACGAATGATATATAAATATTCAAATGAAACTTGTTTTAGATAATACTTCGATTTTTCATTTTATGGTATTTAAAAAAATAAAAGATAAGAAATACGAGCAAAATAATTGTGTATTGATGAAATATAAAAGAGTATACCATATCCTTTTATTACGTACATTAAGTGTCTCACAATGCAAAACATGTATATGGTTTTGTCCCTACAACACTAACACAAGGTTCTCTTGCATTTAATCGTAATATAGAGTTTCGTTAACCTTATTTTATATCAGGCTATGACGACAAAACATGCTTCGAGAACAGTGTCTATATGAATTGTACAGTATGCATAGTTTCCAAAAGTAAGGAATCCTGTCAATACCCCGGAGGACCCTCTAATCAAACCTGTCAATCTGCAAATAGCTTTAACATTTAACATTGGCATCCCACGATATTCGTTAGGTTGTAAAGTGAGTTAACATAAGGTCAATATCTGCTGCTGTCTAGATTTTCCTTGCTTGTGATATAAATTTGAAATACATCTTTTTCGATCAGATCATACTTACCATATCTCTCTCGGATATCGGACCCATAGAGCGAAGCAATATGTCTATCTGGACCTCCAGAGGATCGCCTGTTCAAATAGAATCAATCACATGTCTATACCATGTAGACCATAAAACCCTCGGAGACACTGAGCTTTGTTTAGTTCAATAAGAACATTTTTACATATGAATAATGGCATGAGTTGTCGCCGGTTTTTCGTTTGCAGTTTGGTCTTCTAATTAAAATTTCAATTATGTTCTTTTCTTTTTATATTGACGATGTGACAAAATGTTATTACTACTTTGCTTAATAAATGTATTCTAAAAAACATGAACAAATACAGCTTAACTTATGATAAGATATTGGTGTTAGTTCCTGAATAACTCTGAACATCCGTTATTACAAGAAATACAGTTGGAACCACTTACATTGGATAAACAGAGATAAGGGATTGTTTATACTGACTCTAGACATATTTTGTCCTGCATCACATACAAACTGTTAGAGTTCCTACCTCCAAATCCGGGCCGGAGTTTCTTGTCGTAGTCAACCAGTAGGTCGTCAAGGACGGCCGATATGTTGTCGGTTCCAATAGCGGCGTTATCTACTGTCTCTATCATAAACACACACCTGTTTGGAGAACAAACTCATTGTCAGCATTACAGATAGAAGTACCCAATGTCTCTATCATAAACACACACCTGTTTGAAAAACAATCTCGTTGTCATCTTTAAAGGTAGAAAGTATCCACTGTCATAATCATAATTACACACCTGCTGGGAGAGTAAACTTATCAGCATTGTTACAAGGAAACTACCAATTGTCTCTATCATAAATACACGCCCTTTTACTACTATTACTAAAGGATACGATATATGTTCAGCCGAAGACCAATCTCCCATACCTTTGCAATGTTAGTAAAATGCATGTGATAGTTTTATGTAACATGCATACTGAATTATCATAAACGTAGCATTAACTCACAGAAAGCATATTTCAGGCAAAAATATTCTTCCATTAAAAAGCATGAACTCTATGTACGTATATGCCAAGAAGCAATAACTATTTACATAGAAGTTGTGATTTAAAACATGTTTAACGTTGCAGAAGAGAAGTTTATTTAAATGATATAAGTTTTGACTACAAGGAGAAACATAGAAAATCTTAGACATTGGAAGGAAGTAATGGGTAGGTATGCATTCAAACGTGACAACAAATCAATTCGAAGGTCACTCGGTAAAAATTCCATGAGAGAGCATTCAGCGATTAAACAATTATAATTGTTGTGTGGCTATGTGATGGTTATAATATTTGTCATTTAGAATTCATCGGAGGCAATGACTGTTTTAACACACTCTTGTTCAAAAAAGTTACAAGTATTTCCGATTTCTTTCAAGTGCACATCCTTATTGAGAGAACAAATCTGTCGCCAACTTTAAGCAAACCATGGATTAAATCACGTCTATATTCTGAGTGTAAACACAAATGATTTTGATCTTCTGATTAGCGCATAGATGCTGCAACAAACAACAATTATACAATGTAAGTAAATAGCTACAAATAGTCAACTGTTCGAAACTTGGTAGGCCTAAGCCATTTTCTGAGGTCAACTAACTGGACCAAGAATGCAACAGAAAATGTTTTAAGATTCATCTCTCGTTTTCAATTGATCAGAAGCCCAATTTAAAATTTTAATCATTTAAAGCATGCTACCCAATATCTGTTTTTATTGATAACGGTTAAGAATGGTCGGAATTCAATATCAGTGCGGAAGGTCAACTCGATATTCTTAGATTACCTCATTCATCGTTCACCGTGGGCATCATTGTTATCCGCCATTGTACATTACTAAAGAAAACAATAAACTATCATCGATGTCAGAAAATCCTTCAATGGTGGAGGCAATGCTGTTTTAATGGTAACGATGCTCGCTATCATCAGTATCTTCTTCGGTGTGTCAATGAAAAAACGGGTTCGCTAAGGATATGTGGATTATTAAAGCGCGGAGGAAAAGCATCAACAAGCTGTGAGGATTAATCATGTACTTAAAGATCCTGCCGTGACACGATTTATTTTGATAGACGTACCTTAATCGATCATCGTGCCACCTCGCTACCGTACTTTAATGATGTTTATAGGAAGTTAGGTCATTGCGTTTTTGTTCCATTGATTGAATATGTCAACATCTCACACGCCTTCTGAAGTATTAATGAATATCCATCGTTTAAATTTCAGATTTCTTACATAACACTTTTACTGCTAAAGAGCTCTTGGTAGGCATTAATGATTGCACAGCAAATCACGCATCGACACTAGTGGACGTAATTGATTTCATACCATTTGTTTTATTGTGAATGGATGTTCGTTTAGCGATCTGTAAATGTTGTTAGGGACAACTTTGAGGCAAGTGGTATAAATATTTAAATTAAATGAACAGATTCAGCTCGCGAATGTAAACACCCATGTTTCAGACGTCTGCGCACATAAAATATCCGTTATTAAGTTAGAAGTATTTTTTTAAATATGCAGGGTATAACGTCTTCGCAACAGCTACATGTAAGGTCATATGAAAACATGTTCAAAACAGTGTTCTCGTGCACTACATATATCAATCGTCAGGATTGTACACGCAAGTATGCGACTATTACAAACGGGAAAGGGAAGATGACTGTTGTTGTAATGTTGAAACTTATAAATCTGTAATAGGAATCAAGTCTGGATCAATCTTGAATCTCCTTTCCAAATCATGTTCCTATCAGAACTTTTGACTTTTTCCCTCTTCACGCTCAATATCTCACAGCAACCTGTAAAAACACCTTCGTTCTCTTATTACTAGGTTTTATTAGTTTTTTTACCATCAAAGAAAGGCAAACGGCTATATAAATATACGTAAGCTATTTAAATAACATATTGTGAACAGACCAAAATAAAATAAACTAAAGACGAAATTGTGATTGAATTTATTGAAAAGTTTGTTTATCCGGAATTGTAAAAATAGTGGCCATACCCTTCAACTTCACATTCAGATATATCGACGATGTTCCTTCTTTAAATAACAAAATATATCTACAGGCCACATCAATCGTAGATACCTTCCTGAGCTTAAATCCAACGATACCACGATACTTTTCTACTTCAGCAACTTTCCTCGATTTGTACTTACAGCACGACCAACAGAGACGGCTTACCGCTAAAATGTTTGCTTGTCTCTTACGTCCTATAAACAGCTATGGTTATTTACCTACTGAAGGTACCTGGTGACTGCCCCACGTAGGTCTCGAACCCGCGACCCAGTGGTGGAGGGCTAGTGGTAGCAGAATCTCAGACACCTTAACCACTTGGCTACCGCGACCACGATCAACAGTGACGGCTTACTGCTATTTTGTACGATAAGCGTGGGGATTTCGATTTTCCTATCGTGGATTTTCACTTTCTTGAAAAGCATATCTCTATTACCCTAACGTGTTTTCATGTTACAGTCGACTAGGTATTCAAGACGTTTCTCAAAATACCATGATTAGAGCACATCTCTACTTCCCCAGCCTACTGTGTTAACATGTCACAGTCGACTAGGTATTCAAGACGTTTCTCAAAATACCATGATTAGAGCACATCTCTACTTCCCCAACCTTCTGTGTTTACATGTCACAATTGAGTAGGTATTCAAGACGTTTCTCAAAATATCATGCTTTCTGAAAATATCACAATGTAAAAAAATACAGTAAATGGTTTCTAAGCCTACCGGTTGTTAAATACTATTGATAAGTTTAATGTTATCCGTCATTGTCTTATTGAAACAGATGCCATGTTTTTTTGTGATATGAGTTGAGTGATTTTGATTACGCCCATTACTGTGCCTTCATCTTTCGTTGTTACTGCCCGGTTCTCGCAATGAGGACTTGACATTACCATTGTTTGACATATACTTACATGGCTTGTGAAGTCGATGAAGCATAACTACGCACACACCTGTACTTTTTTAGGGGTTTCCTTGGAAGTCTTTGATTTGCTCATATGTTGCCCTAGTGTTATAGATTTTGAGTTCGAATTAACGTTTTGCTGACAATTAGGTATTCTCTTGTGTTTTTATCTCCACAAAACAAGAAAAATCAGTTACAATGTGTTTATCTGGATCGTTCACAATAACGAATCGTAGAAACACTCCTTATTTAATCATAATTGGGTGTTTCTATAACTTAGAGCAAATTTGCCTTTTCCTGCGTTCAATCGCGGCTATATATCATGTCTTATATAGTTGTATAGTCTACACACCAGCCGATACATCAGTGGCAACTGTCAATATAAGCACACACAGTGGAAGGTCGGTCTTCTATCAACCGAATGCATTCGTCAATACAAACCACGTGACCCCTGATCCGTAACAATTACGTAAAGCTAGCACATTAGACGCTATCAATTGACACTATGCTATGAGCGGTAACAAGCTGTGCACGTAACAACCTGTATAAAGCAGTGTGACCGGAGTAACCTCAGTGGTGGATGACAGGCCTAAGGAATAACCCAGCAATATATCAATCTTAACGTTTTATTCCAGGCTACAGAATATCCACTTATCTGTTTGTATGTGAAGTCGTTGCAGAATCTATTTTCAAACAAAAACATCAATAAAACGACTGGAAAGAAACATAATTACCCCGAGTTATTCCAGCTATTCAATACGATGTCTGGATTTACGTAACTCCTGGCATTCTAATAAACTTTCATGTCAGTAGATGTGATACACGAATGTAATGAAACTTCTTAGTCCTTTGATCATTTGCACTTATATCAGCCTAGTTTGATGGTTACGTTAATGGATAGGAGATATTCTAGATAGTTCTGGTGATGTCAACATATAGATGGATAAGGGCATCTAAATAGAGGGATAGAACGTGGTGCTGTGAACGACACGATTCTATGTCATTTCGTTGTCTTACTAGCGTCACTACCAAACTTCCTTCCTTCCTTCACGATTCTGATTGTTAGACGTACTACCCAATGGTCCCTTCAATACACCTGAGGATATTTTCCACATGATCAAGTTTTGTTTGGCGATCTCTTCGCTGAGTTTGCGAAAATTATATTTCAACAGACTATCTGTGTTACAAGAAAGAAGAAGTGTTGACTTTGAGGTAGTACTGTGTGATGTGTAATATTTGCATTATTTTATCGTAATCAGGGTCGTTAATGAGCAAGTACAGTTCCACATTATTAGATATTACATCACATGTATGTTTCAATTTTTGATTGATTAGACCAGGCCACATTTCTGAAAAGACATCGTATTAAAATGAAAGCGGCATTTTTAGTAGGATTTGGTACTGTAACACATATTCCTAACCTATTTAATATGTGATGAATTTGAAGATGGAAGTTACAAAGCCAAAAGTTTGAGTTCAGGGGTCAAACTGACAAAACAAAATATTGAGCAATATGAGCAATTAATGGAATTCGACCAATAAATAAATAGTACTGCTAATGCAAAATTATAGGGATAGGAGTTGGAACATGTAGTACATGTGTGTTTCATTAAGATGAAATTGTTTTTTTTTGGGGAAATTGGGAGAGAAAAAAAGGATCATTCCCTATCTGGATGGTAGGACAGAGAAATCCCTATAATCGGAGGAGAT